TGATTAGAAAAGGGCAAACCATAGTGCCCATATTTAAGCAAGGGAAAAAGGAAGATCCAAGGAACTACAGGCCAGTTAGTCTCACTTCAGTCCTTGGAAAAATCATGGAACAGATTTTCAAGGAATCCATTTCTAAGCACTTGGAGGAGAAAAAGGTGATTAGGAACAGTCAGCATGCATTCACCAGGGGCAAGTCATGCCTGAACAACCTGACTGCCTTCCATGATGAGATGACTGGCTCTGTGAATGTGGGGAGACCAGATGTGGTATACCTTGATTTTAGCAAGGCTTTTGATACAGTCTCAACGTTCTCCCAGGCAAGCTAAGGAAATATGGGCTTCATGAGTAGACTGTAAGGTGGATAGAAAACTGGCTGGAGCACCAGTCTCCAAAAATAGTAATCAAAGGCTCACGTCTACTTGGCAGCCAGTATCAAGTGGAGTGCCCCAGGGGTTGGTCCTGGGGCCAGCTTTGTTCAATGTCTTCATCAATGACCTGGAAGATAGTATAGAGTGTACCTTCAGCTAACTTGCAGATGATGCCAACCTGGGGGAGTGTAGGCCTAGGATTCGGAGTGATCTAGACAAACTGGAGGATGGGATCAAAAGGAATCTCATGATGTTCAACAAGGACAACTGCAAATCCTGCATTTAAGATAGAACAATCCCATGCCCCGCTACCGACTGGGCGCTGACTGGCTGGGCAGCAGCTCTGCAGAAAAGGACCGGAGGCGTTACAGTGGACAATAAACTGAATACGAGTCAGCAGTGTGCCCTTGTTGTGAAGAAGGCTAATGGCATACTGGGCTGTACTGGTAGGTGTGCTGCCAGTAGGTCGAGGAATGTGATTATTCCTGGTTTGGCAACATCAGTACTGTGTTCAGTTTTGGGCCCCCTTTACAGAAAGGACGTAGACAAATTGGAGAGAGTTCACTAGAAGGCAATGAAAATGGTGAGGGGTCTGCGGTACATGACTTATGAGGAAAGACTGAGGGAACTGGGCCTATTCAGTCTGGAGAAGAAGACACATAATAGCAGCCTTCAACTACCTGAAGGGGGTTCCAAAGAGGATGGAGCTCAACTGTTCTCAGTGGTGGCAGATTTCAGAACAAGGAGCAATGGTCTCAAGTAGCAGCAAGGAAAGTTTAGGATTGATATGAGAAAGAATTTTCTCACTAGCAAGGTAGTAAAAACACTGGAACATGTTACCCAGCGAGATGGTGGAAGCTCCATCCTTGAAGGTTTTCAAAACCTGGATAGACAAAGCTTTGGCTGGGATGACCTGGTTGGGGATGGTCCTGCTCTGAGCTGGGGGTTGGACTAGATGACCTCCTGAGGTCCCTTTCCACCCTAACTTCCCATCATTCTATGATTCTAAGGTGGCAACCAGAGGAGAGTGGGTACCAGGTGGGAAGCGGGGACTGCGCTGTGGCTCCACAGACTTGGGTTGTGGCCAGCAGGCGGGGGCACCCAGTGGTACCTGAGATGGGGCCTGTCCCAGCCCGTGCAGCTCCACAGGGATGGTCCACAACCACCCTGTCCACTAGGGCAGTGGTCTCCAAAGTGGGGTGCGCACAAGACGATCCACTGGGGTGCGGGAAGAAAATATTAGAACTTCTATTTATATTTATATAAATATACATATATTGGGGGTGCATGCTCAAAAATTTTTTACTGATAGGGGTGCGCAATCAAAAAAGTTTGGAGAGCATTGCACTAGGGGACACCACCTGGCCAGGACAGGACAGCAGGCTCTGGGGGGCTCCTGGCTCAGCCTCCCTGTATGCCAGGCACAGTGCAAGTGGGGCGTGCAACGGCCTGGCCATGGGGGCCCAGCTGCAGCAGCTCCCCGGACCCCAAGAACAGCCACCACAGGCAGAACTCAGGGCTGAGTTGGCTGGGAGCCTCCAGCACAGAGGCCCTCCACAGCGCCTGCCCGGGCCCTGGACTTTTCCACCCGCAGCCCCGCTCCAGGGGCTCGGCTGGAGGGCACAGCCCAGGGACAGGGGGCAGGGGCATGACAGGCAGCCCTCTTAGCCAAATCAGCAGCAAGGGGCAGGAGGCAGCAGCCATCCTGCCTGCTCACCTTCGTGCCGGCAGTCCTCCTCCCCCTAGCACGTTGTGCAGCCAGGACTGCTGGTTCTCACTGGGGAGCTAGCATTTTATTTTTAGTAAGTTTGGGTTTTTCTTCCCCTCCCCCAATTGATTTCATGGATATCACCTGATTTTTGGATTTCCCACAAAAATCACAATTTGAGTAGGTCCCTACTTATAGTTAGTTATAAATATCAAGCAAACTGAGCTGAAGAGAAAGCATCAGATGATTACAGCTAGCAACTCCTAGCTGAGCAGATTATGTGCAAGTACTCATAACATTAATACCATATCACTAAGTTAAACCCAAAATTCTCTCCCTGAAACCTGATCTTTGCTTTTTTGTTTTAATATACCCCTCCTCAAATTGTGTTAATATTAAAACCACTTAAGCTACAAATTGTTTTATTATTTCAGCATAAAAATAGAAATGTTATAACACTTGTTTAACAGGCACAAAGCATTTTGAAATTGGCTAAACAGTTATAATAATTTCACACTTTATTGTACTACTTTAAACTGCAACATACTCTCAGTGTAGCAAAGCTATTATCAAAGCCCAAAAGAAAAACCTGAAAAGATTATGCAACTATAACTTAAATGTTCTGTGAAGCATGTTGATCTATCACCATTAACATTACATATATTTTTAGCGTAACAGCTCCAATCAGGAAAAGAAAAGCATGTAAAAATTAGTTGCACATTTAACGTTATAAAAATCAGACCGAGTGAACATTTGCTATAACAGGTATCCAAAGAGACTAACATACTCTAAGTGTTGTTTAAAACTTGAGGTTTATTTTAAACCCCATTGAATACCACAAGTTTGATGACTATTATCTCATTTTGTTTGCCATCAGAAAGACTATACTACTTATTAACTGACAAGCAATGAAAATAGACAGATGACAGGGCAGGGAGGTACCTTAGAGGCCAACTCATTCAGAGAAGCAAAAATTGTAGACTACAGCTAATTCTGTCGCAGCAATCAGCAAAACAGGCTGCAGCCTAGAAAAGTTCATGCCTCTCTGAATGAGTTAGCCTCTAAGGTGTCAACAGCTCTGCCTTCTAACTTCAGGCTAACATAGCTAACTACATCTCTCTAGAAAATGCAAGTATTCTCCTTCCTAACACATTCATTGCATTTATTTTAAACATACTCATGGCTCATAACTGATTAAATGTAATATAGAAAAAACAAAAAATAACAATTATTGCCAGTCAGCAAAATTGGGGGAAAACTTTCAACCAGAAAGACAAGAGACACACTTTACTTGAACAAATTGTATTTAAAATTAAAATCTGATTAAATCTTTTCTGTAAATAATATTTGTATTTGTCAAGAAGTCACTGAGAGTATCTTATTCCTACATATACATCCACCAAGAACTCTCACCTGCATTCATACTCCTACTAAAGTAGAAAAGGAAGGGTTAGACAAATGTCCCTCCTCCAAGATATGCTCTCTCTCACTCTTGCTCTTCCCTTCCCTTGCCCTGTTTTGTGTTTAAACCAAATTTTCCAAGGAAAGAATCTAGTTTCCGAAGCTACATAAAACATAGTTTTTTACATTTCAATCCTATATTTTTATTGCAGCTGTTTTAACATAAGCCTGTTGGAGGATCATTTATTGACAATTCAAATGAGTCAAAATCAGTCAGGAGCACAAATACAGCATCATGATCTAGCATTGAGCACTGCAGACCTGGTAGTTCTCTCTGCTATGAAGTGAGTATTAAAGGGACCACTGTCCAATGTAAAAAACACAAAAAAAAATGGACAAATCCCTCCTTGTAAGAAATATTATTACAAATCTTTTTTCTTTTGCACTATAAGTTCTCTTCTGACACATTATTCAGAGTAAATAAACTAAAGAAATCAATGTTACTATCCAGTTCTTCTGTGCTGGCAGAAAGCTGATGGGTTTGTATTACAAACTCCACAGGAACCTGTTAAACCAAGCAAAACTAGTCTTGAATTAAAAAAACAAACACTCTGTACTTACTGGAATTCAATTTTTTATTATAATCTTTAAAAAATAAGTTTGTCTCTCTCTCCAATTACACATTCAAGATAAAGACAAGCACTCCACCTTGTGGCAAGTAATCAGAATGTCTTTAATCTTTACGTGGTTTACTGTTTTCTGAACAAAATGTTAAGAACAAGTAAAATAAGAAAGCAAATGAAGAAAAATGAAAAAGAGTAAGTGACAACAAGCTTCAAAGTACTGTGATCTACAAAATATGTTCTCCTTTTATTCTTCATTTATTATGATATAACATATTAGCTTTGCAATTTACATTTAAGCATCTGCTGAAATACAAACCCTATCATCATACAGTGACAAGAAAACCAATATGAAATTTGTATGCTTGCAGACGCATGAAATGTACTAACTAGATGCTATATTATAGAAAAGTAAAAAAACAATGATGTTTTAATATCAAGGACACAAATTAGAGCATCTGGGGAAAAATATTATATAGTATATACACGTGGGTGACTGGTGCCACCTGAGTCAGGGGGGCACATTTCAACCAGGGGGGTGGAGGGGTGGTCCCCCCACAGCCAATTGCACAGATGAGGAATAGGCCGCGACACTCCCAGAAGTAGCTACAGAACTCCCGACGCTTCAGCCAGTGCTACCACTCCCTGGCCGGTGCTCACAGTGGGGCCCCGGTACTGCCTCCTGCCCCCCCTGCCCGTCACCTAAGCGGGGAGTGCAGCCTGTCAGGGGGTGCACCTACACATCACCACTGCATATACATATAATTGGATATAGAGAGAGATGCAAAATGCTTACCTCTGAACAGCATTTATATCTGTCCAAGAGGTTTTCAGCTGTCTTTGCATTCTAGATGGTAAAAAAGTAAGACTGGAATGAAATCTTAAGACTTACTGACTTACCCAAAACCCCAGCCATCTATTGCACTGGCAAAAACCACATTCCCCTGGTCTGGCGAGAAGTAAAGATGTGAATCATCAGTGTCTTCTAAGCCAGCGCTCCAGTCATAAACTTGGTCTCCAGGTACAGAATCTGAAATGATTTGAGTTTCTGTTTCTTTTTCAGCTCTTTCTTCCAAAACTTTAGAAGTAAATAGTGCTCCAGTGACAGCATTAACCTAGGGAAGGATATGTAAAGCCACAGAAAAAGTTAGCGTTCCATAACTTCACAGATTTCAACATTGCACTCTTGTGACTTACTTAAAAATTGAAAGCCCGCATGCTTAAATGCCAGCACAAAATTTAAGGTACAGATACTGGGTATCTATAAATACAGGTATAAATTCTTGCCCACCTGAAGGTGGTAGTTTTATCAATGATTTAAATGGAACTAAAGATTTCACATGATATTTGGAGCACTTCAGTTCCAGTACAGACTATTTTTGTTTATAAAGTTATTAATCTTCAATTACAAAAGATATTCTTCTACAGAATGAAGTGTGAAACAATCTCCAGTAAAAATAAATAAATAAAAATGAGACATCTCTCCAGTTACAGTAATGTCAAACTGAATTTATAATGAAACATGTAAACTCTAAGACCTTTAAAGCTAGATTAAATTCACCCCACTAAATAAGGAAGCCAATGTTACTGAATATTAAATAGTGGTCTCCCACTTCCAAGAAACTGCAAGACAAACCATAGTCAGAAAAAAAGCATTTTAAATGTCTTTCCCATAAAACATACTTGAGATGCAGACTAATTAGTAATTGACAATACTTCTGGACAGCTTATTGAGAAGAATTTAATACTATTTTCAAAGCTGTATACAACACTTGGTCTGAGCCTTCAAGAGGCCAAGCTTCTAAATTAACAAAAAAGACAACAGGAGTAGGAATTAAGTAACAGCATTCATTCTTCTCATGTTAAAGGAGAAAAAAAACATTGCATGATTTTCTGAGGGTAAAGAAAACTGATCACACAAAACTACCTTTATTTCTACTTCACATTAGAATATTAAAAAAAGAATGTTGCCCCTGGTCTCAGTTCAAACACTGAGAAAAAAAAAAGGAAAACAAAACAACATCTTCTGTTTGAATATTTTCCTGTAGGCTTCATACCTGTTCCAATATATTCTTAAGGTGAGAATATGCTTCCTGGGGACTGAATTTCAATTCCACTATCAAGCGATCAATTTTATTAATCACCAAGACTGGACGGATATTTTCTAGCCATGCTTGTCGCAGAACTGCTTGAGTCTAGCAAAGGAAAAAAACAAACGGGGGTTAAGGGAGGGAGACCATGAAAATGCTAAGGAAAGTTTACGATCTCCAAGGTATTGCAATGTTCAAGATAATTTTTAATAACAGAATTCAAATAGCATTTCAGGCTGTGTTTTTTTTTAAATTAAATTAATTACTACAGAACTATTCCATAAACAATAAAAATTATGGAATCAAACATTTTTACAAATTTCTGGCCACAGTAGGACAGACTAAAATTTTTTTGGGCGATTCTGTTCCTTAAATATAATAAAGTAAGGCAGTAAATAGAAAACCTTGCCTTTGAAAAATAACACAGAAACAAAACAAAACAAGACTATGCCCCTCTGCATCTTCTTGGCCTCTGCACTGCACTGATACCCCATTGCTAGCAAGAACATGCCATTCCTCCTCCAACACTATGGCAGCAGTATTTCAGCTATAAATTCCTAAACACATTCTACAGTTCATCTCTTGAGCAAACTGGCTAATCAACACTACTAGAAATCTAACTAACTTCTATCACGTCTTACATGCAAAGTTACCATTCATCAAAACAACATTTTATAAACTTGTGGCCACTAGCTAATTTTTCATTTCTGTTAATGTACTTAAGACAGCTAAACTGTAATATTTTAATTTATTCTCTCTTCCCCACCCTCAGTCTCAAGTAAATATTGTATATCACCTGTGGACAGACTCCTTCAACAGCATCCACCACTATGATACAGCCATCACAGAGTCGGACAGCAGTAGATACTTCTGAAGAGAAATCCACATGACCGGGGGAGTCTATTAGATTAATCAGATACTGCTGATCACCTAAAATTAAACATAAAGTTTTAAACATACAAAGAGAACATGAAAAAGCCATTTGTCAGCCGCTTAATTAAAGACATTTAATATTAACACGGACACAAAAGACCAGAATTTTCAAAAGGTATTTAGGCAATGAGGACAGGCCCTTCAGAAAAATCCACAGAGTACCCACGTAAATTAGGGACCTAACACCTAGATTTCTGCTTAGTAGTTTTTGTAAACACCTTATATCTTTAGACACTTCACCCTAGATGGCCTAGTGGAAGATATTCTAACCACGAACTGTCAAGAGTTAAATGACTAAATAATGATATAAAACCTGTGCTTATAAGACAACTGAGAGTGGTTCACCATGAAAGGGAATCCTCCATGCTTAACAAGAGATGTTCAAGAATCACATGAGCTAAGTGCACTTAAGCAAATGTAACTGTTACTAAAATATCTTTAGATATTCAGAAGTGATGAAGCTTTAAAAAAATCTGAGTATACAACTTATACAATGGCAATATGGTTCAGTCAGTTTCAATTCCTAGCTTTCAAATGCATCCACTACCTCTGACTTACAATTACAGGTTTTCCTCACTTTATTATGTACATGCATTCCTGAAAAATGGTCCATAACTTGAATTTGCATGAAGAGAAACCAGTTTACAATGTAACAAATAGCTATAGGTTCCAAGACCTTGACTGTACTGACCCCCAGGCCCATTTCTACCACTTTTACAAGACAACTTTGGTATTCACCAACAGCAGCCAGTACACACAAGCACATTGTAGTGGTGAATGTTTAGTTGGTGTGAAGAGAGGGTGGTGAAGAGTCTTCAATGTCAGACTCCACATCACTGGTAGGAGGTACATGCAGGGTAACATCCACAGGAGAATCAACAGACACGGGGCTTTCGTCACCCTCGAACACCAGTGGGTTGGGGCTGGGGGTTGCCAAGTGAAACTTCAAGAACTGGAACATCCACACAGGAGACTATGCACTGCACAAACCAGCTGCCTGAGGACTTCTACCACACCCCGCATATAACAAATTTTTGGTATAAATAGGGTCATCGCATAAAAGCGAATTCACACATACAGAACCTGCATAAAGTGAGGGAAACCTGTACTAGAAGATAGTGTTGTTATGACAACATAGCTGTACAGTGAAATTTCTCCAGGTTAAATACATTTGCATGATGCTACTAAGCATTTTAACAAATCTAAATTCTGACCCTGCAATAACAGCCATTTCTCTTTAAGCAGCTTCCACACCAAGCCACTCAAATTGAACAGCAGCAGCTTCAATTTCTAGCATATCAAAACAAGTAGGGGAAATAAGAGAGAAGCGACTTGCGCCCTTCCAATTCAGCCTCCAGCTTCTTCATCAAGTGGTGTTTTGTACAGACATTTTACACATCCCAGGCAACAAGCTTCTAATCCTTGGGAAAGCAGCCTTCCCTGCCCATTTGCTTGAGAGAATATTCCATAGATTAAACCCAGGGTGACCAAGATACAGCCTGCAGAACAGTGTCACCTGGCTTGTGGAGCTCCCCATGGGTCTGGACATTTGGTGGCATGGTGAGCAACAGCAGCATTAATTGCTGCAGCTCCTAGAGCCACAGCAATTAATGCTACTGCCATTCAACCTGCCGCCAAATTTCTATATCTGTGGGAACTACCACAGGCAAAGCCATGTCATATGGCCCAGGGGACCAAAAATTTGGTAGCAGGAGGAGCTGCAACTTCAGTAGCTCCAGGAACTACAGCAATTAATGCTGCCACTGCAAAATTCCAGGCCCACAGACCAGATGAAAAGGCTCCATGTTCAGGATCTAGCTCATGGACCTGCCCCATGCTCTGGATATGGCCCACACACTGGCCCTGAGTCTCTCACCGAGCCCCTGGGGCCAGATGAGTTGTGCAACGCTGCCTTAAGCAAATCTCCCAGTCAAGTCCAAGAAACTGTATGAGAAGAAAGGTAAGTTTGCTGAAGAATTGCTACAGCAAAAGGGAACATAAACTGAAGGATAAGAAATGCCAAAATTAAAACTAAGCTGTACCACAAAAAAAGAGAAAATTCCAAACATTCACATCTCAGTGATTTCTCAGGTTTACAAAACTTAACAACTGCATTCCACAGGAAACAGGGTTCATATCTTCTGGCCCCATGTACACCCCCAGACCCATAGTTTCATAGCTGGTAGGGTCGGAAGGGACCTCAGCTGATCATCAAGTCCAACCCCCTGCCATGGCAGGAAAGAATGCTGGGGTCAAATGACCCTGGCTAGGTGTCTATCTAGCCTCCTTATGAAGACCCCTAGGGCAGAAGCAAGCACCACTTCCCTTGGAAGTTGATTCCAGATCCTAGCCACCCTGGACTGTGAAGTAGTGTCTCCTAATATCTAACCTGAATCTACTCTCAGTCAACTTATGGCCATTATTCCTTGTTACTCCCAGTAGTGCTCGGGGCAACAGGGACTCTCCCATTGCCTGTTGGTCTCCCTGCAGGTAGCAGGTATGCTGCTGGTTCTTCCTCCCTGCACTTGTCAGTATTGAATCCCATCTTATTCTCATCCACCCACTCCTGTAATCTGCCCTGGCCTTCCTAAAGACTATGTCCACCACGACACCTGCATCCAAGGATTTTGTGACCTGGTCACAGAAGGCCACCAGGTTGGTCTGACAGGACCTACCTCTAATGAACCCACGTTGGTTGCCCCTAAGCATACACTCCCGTGCTTGACCCTCGCAGATGTGCACCTGGCTAATTTTCTCAAAGAGCTGCCCCAGGACCAAAGCAAGACTACCAGGCCTATAATTTCCTGGGTCCTCCTTCCTCCCTTTTTTGAAAATGGGAACCACATTGGCCCTTTTCCAGTCCTCTGGCACCTCGCCAGAGCACCATGAGTGCTCATAAAGCTGTGCCAGAGGTCCCGCAATGACCTGTGCTAATTCCCTCAGCACTCTGGGGTGGAGATCATCAGGACCTGCTGATTTGAACATGTCCAGCCCCATCAGAAGTTCCCTAACTAGGTCCTCTCTGACCCTGGGCCCAGCTGCACCTCCCCTGGGACCACTGGGGATCCCAGTGGGGGTGGGGGGGGATGACCTGATCCCTGCTCAGAAAAATGGAGGCAAAGAAATTGTTAAATAGGTTAACATTAAATAGGCCCAGCCCAGAGGTTGAGCACCACTAGTCTAAACAAATGAGACTATTCAACAAAATTAGTCAGGTAACACTGTTTGGTAATTACCCCAAAACCTGTACATTGAGTGAAAAATAAAAAATAATCCAATCAGGGAATCATTTCATATATCCATCATATAATGGCATGCATCAGTTGTCTAAGGCTGTTCTATCAAAAAGTTACCTATTCTTAATTATGGCTACGTTTCTGCAAAAAAAGCCATTGGTTCTGATGTTGCACCTCTTAGACAGCAACCTTGGAATCTCAAGTTTTTGATTAAACTTTTTGTCCACAACATGGAAAATTTCCTTAACTCTTGAGAGGGCAAATCAATCACCTCTAAAATATAAGGCAGCAAGAAAAACTAAGAGTCTTACCACCCACAGAACATTTCTACAACAAACAGCATGTCAACCAACACTTTTGTAGTTTACCATGATAAACTGTATCCAGAAGCAAGAGGACAGTTCAGTTCCAAGTATCTATATATTTCCTTCCAGCATCTCTACATTACCTTTCTCAAAATGCAGTGAAATAGCACTAGATTTCATAGTAATTCCTCGGATCTGCTCATCTGCTCTACTGTCTAGATATCTCAGCTAAAATATAAACATAAGAACAAATTAGTATGTAAAAATATTTTCGTAAAATATTATTTGAATGCAAAGACAAATTTGCATTTAAATGCAAAAGCAAAGGCAAAAGAAAATTTACAGCACGTCTTGAAAAATCCCCTGAACATCCATTGTTAAATTTGTACACGTAGACTTTAAACATTTTGTTTATGAAACTGTAACTTTACCTTTCCTGCCAAGCGGCTAGAAATAATTCCATTGCTAGATATCAGGCAATCAGCTAGAGTTGTTTTACCTGAAAAGAAAAACAAGTTACTTTGCTTAAATAAGCACATCCAGAGGATCTGGTAACATATTCTTCTACTATTTTTGGTTTATCTGAAGGATAGTTTCTAACAACATGCCTAAAGATTTCTTTAAAAACTCCTAAGACTCTAAACTTAATTTAAAAGCATTTTACTTATCTGAATTAGAATCTTACAAACAATGCCTCCAGCCTTCATCCTTATAAAAACACACATACTTAACTCCCTAACTGCAACCAGGAAAAACTGTTAAAAAAAAAAAAACAAATGCCATCTGGTAAACACGCTTTCACACTAACATTAAACAATAGCTTCCTCCATTAACTTCCTAAAACAAGCACTGTTATAAATTACCAGTTGCACTTACATAAAGAATTTCTTCCACTAATCACCATCCAGCACAAAACCCAACACAGCCATCAAATAAAAATGTGCCTCCTGCACAAACCATTTCCATCACTCTTTAAATCCAACACTCCAAACAATTAAAAACCACTCAGTAGTCAAAAGTTCAAGACTGTGCATATCTTGTAACAGTATGAAAACTTATATATTACATGGATGTAAGCGAAAAACCATAGAGAAGGTAAATTGGTGCAGGTCTAACCACAAATTAACATATTGGGACCCTTTTCCAAGTTTAATAATGTCACACACACACACACACACAAATGCAGACAGTCAGTCTGCACCAGGAGACTTTTCATACAAACAGGTTAATCGCTTTAATGAAAGAAGCAGTATTCAACTGCTTTACACTTTCCATTTCTTATTCACTTAGTCTGGATAAGGGGTTAATCCTAAAGATTCCTTGGAAGAGTGGTAGGGATGAAGAGGATGGGCAGAGATTTCTTTTGAAGGGGTCAGAGCAGATGCAACTCCACTGAGCTGTGGGAATTTGGGAAGAGAGTCAGCTGGGAGTCCCTGCAACCTGTTTCACTATATCTGTCCTTGTGTAGACAAAAATACAGCTTTGAAAAGTAATACCACTGCCTACCAGCACAAGGGAGGAGAGTAATTTAGGTCTCCTTTCATCAGGGATGAGTTTTACCCGCTATGGCAGATCCAGCTTCCATCAAAAGCTTGATTAGATCTGCTGTGACAACTGGCATAAATATCAGCCAAGTGCATGGGCCGGATCCCACACACCTGTATCCAGACTCATGCCACCATAATCAAAACCCATGCCGAGACATGTGGGGCAGAAAATTTTCCGATGCTTTATTTTTCTGTAAGAAATTTTCTATTTCTAAGAATTCATTGTTTCATAAAATTCATTAGTAACAACAAATGGATGCCACTACAATGTTAGGCAAGATTGGCAATTTCAAAGTTGTGATTAATGTTTTGCAGGTGATTATCCCCCAGAAGTGAGAGAGAGAGTACATATATGTTCTACTGATTTGTGAACAGGAGGGTAAATACACTGACAATAATTCAAACCAAAAATCAAGTTATGAATTCACCTAATTGGCTGTGCAGGTCAAGTCAAAACCAAAGCATGGCATATCATGCACAGTTCTTTGGGTGTGCTAAAATTAGTGTGTGAATAGTTTTCAAAGCCTTCAGTTTTCTTCTTAAAATTTAAACAAGCAATGTAAGGGAAGTGCATGCTATTGTGTACTGTCTTTGCATTTTTACAAGTATTCCAATAAAAATAATTTATTTCCATATAAAGCGCTGAATTTGTTTGACTATAACATTTAAAACACACTAAGTGTGCTGTTTTTAATCTTTTTCCTAATCAACTATTTCAGTTCAAATACTTGTGACTACTGGGACATAAAATTAACATGGGGGTACTTTTTTAGTTTTGTTTACTAAATATAGCTCAAACACGCTAAATCAGGTCACTCTCCATTTGGAGCACTGGAAAATTATCCAGACAATTTTCCAATTCAACATTTTCTGGAAAACCACATCTCTGCCCATGCCTCCCAATCCAGTCACACACCACCTAATCTGGACCCATGCTGCTGGATCCAGCCATGTGCCACTCTGATCCAGACTTGCACTTCCCAAACTGGATACATGCTGCTCAACCCAGACCAATGTCATCACATTCAGCTATGCACATCTAGACCTGTACTGCTGGATCCTGCTGCATGCTGCCTAACCTGGACCCATACTGCCAGATCCAGGCATGCACTGCCCTAATCCAAATCCATGCTGTCCCAATTCAAACCCATGGGTGTCTTTACACATGCTCTGGAGGGGTGGGGAGGGCACTTTAGAGTGGCTCCTAGAACCACTCCAATTAAAGCGCCCGCAGCGTCTCATGTATTCAGTGTCCTGCGCTTCAAAATGGCAGCAGGGGTGCTTTAAATAAAGCCTGTTTGATGAACTTTAGTTAAAGCTCCCCCACTGCCATTTTGAAGTGCGGGGATGCTAAATACAAGACATGGAGACTGCCAGAATGCTTTAATTAGCACGCTCCAGCAGATTCGCGTCCTCTCTGCTGCACTATAATTACAGTGCGTCAGAGCAATGTCCCCGCATGTCCACAGGCGCTCTGTGTCTCCTGATTTGGCTACACCCCCTTGCTGCCAGATCCAGCCACGTACAGCCCAAATCTGGACCCATACTGCTTGATCTGGCCCCATCCATCCCCAATCCAACCTGGACACCACCCAATTCAGTCCTGTGCCAGCCCCATTGGACATGCAGAACCATGTTATCCAACCTGTGCAGCTCCCCACAGGAGAGAAGCAGTAATTAATGTTGCAAGTGCTCCTCCGCTACCAAGCTGGGGGGTCGAGCATGCCTGACTTATACGACCACAGGCCCCCTGCTTTGCCAGCACTGCCCACTTTACAAGTCATACATACTACAACCAACAACAGGAGATGCGGTGACACCATGCAGGAGGCCTTCTAAACCTGCCCCTGGACTTCAGTGGCACCGAACCCCGAGCGGGCAGGAGAATGGGAGGGTTTAAAACCGCTCCCTCCTAACGCGCCCATCTCCATTTCAGCCCGTAACAGAGGGCTCCTTCTTACCATGATCCACGTGGGCCAGGATACAGATGTTCCTGATGTTCGCCGTCTTTTTCTGCAGTCCAACCATCTTGCCCACACTGGCGAGAACCATGGCTGCGCGGTTCTGCAGGCAGTGTTTAAGGCTCGAGACGGCGGCACCTGCAATTAACAGATGCAGAAGAAGGTTTCGGAGGCAGAGGAAGAGCTGGCAGCCCGGGAACACAGGCACCACAGAGGTGTTTCAAACCCAGGACTGGGGGCCGCAGCCTGCGGGGATACCGCCCCCCACTGCCAGCTTGCAGACACCTGTATTCCTTTGCCTAGAAGTGGAGCTGGGGCCTGCGCCTGCCCCTGGGACCACGTTGAAAGGACACAGGACGGGGATGACATCACACACGAGAGTGTGACGGCACTGGGGAAGCCCGTGCCGCGGGGGGGGGAGTCTCCATACAGCCCAGGACAGCACGAGACCGCTGCGCAACCACGGGCCGAGGTGGGGGCCTCACTCACCCCGTGCCTGCCCCGCTCCTCCGCGCGGAGCCACCCGGCCGCAGCCGGAAGTGGATGCCGGCGCGCGCAACGCTGTTCCTCCCCCCCCCCCCAGTGACGCGATACGGAAGCCGGGAGAGGGACGCGCGGTGCAGGGCGGGGCAGGAGAGACGCGGAAGCGGTTGCTAAGCGACCGAGCGCTTGCCTAGTTACGGTGGGGCAGCACGGAGCGCACGCGGCGGGATGGCGGCGCAGCGCCGCTGCCTGTGTCAGATCTGCACCTGCGGGTAAGGTCGGGGGCGGGGGTAGCTCCGGGCACGGGGACACGAGCAGCTTCCCCCGGGCTCGCGTCAGGGCCGCCAGGGGTAGCATAACGCCCTGTTTGTACGGTCCTGTCACCCCTTGTAGGGTCAGTGACCGTGCCAGTGCTCACCCTGCCCGGGCAGGCCCGCGCAGCTCGTGTCTGCCAAGCCCCGGTCACTCCCAAGGGCTTCGGGGTTTGCGGCCAGCACTTGGTTTATGACAGCTGGCCTCCAAATAAAGACACGCTTCCACACGGGTGACCCATGTCTCACTCCATCGCTGGCAAATATACAGTAAAGACGACGACGGCTTATTTGCATGCTTCTTTGCACAGTTTTTCAGCAAGGACGATCATTGTGAGCTTCCAATACGATCATTTCGTACGGTAGACCTATTAACACCGGCAGGCGCCTGTCTATCCCTGCTGTACAGGCCGCGGTATGAGAGATCCTGAGATACTGGAGGACCTAAATGGGGAGGCACAGCCACCCCGCCCTGGGTCGGGAGCTGGGGAGGGTGGATTTGATCATCCTGCCCTGGAGTGCCTGGCTTCGAGCCGCTTAAAGCCACGGTAAGGTGTGACGGTGCGGGCAATCCTGGGGGGAAGAGCGCCACCCAAAATTCCCGTGCAGTGGGGCCCTCAGGATCTTGCTACACAGCAAGTTTGGGCGGCTTCCACAACCCTGGCTCGGTCGCACGGTCACCCTGGTGTAAGCGCTCCTTAGGCGGCGCAAAGTGACACTGCTCCCAGGCGAGGCTCCCTCTTCCCCCGGCCTCGCACCCCGTTCCGGCGCCTCAGTCCCTGCTGTCGTGCCAGCACTCCACCGCGTGTCTCTGGCTGTGCAGAGCACTCTGGCTTCTGAGACAACCAATCCGAATGTGAATGAAGCATTATGGACAGACAGACAAAGAGACTAAGGCTTCTTTAATATTAGAATGTACGGCTCTTATTCACATTCATAAAACAAAATCTGGCTTTTTTGATCATCTTAACAGTGCCCGGAGTACTTCACTGTCGTTCTATACCTGAATTAATATAACCACACTTGAGTTAAGGGTTTTAGCTACACCCCAAACAGACTGCAGGGCAGTGAAATAGAAGAGAGACTTTACCAGGAAGGGCTAACAGACAGCAATATTGCAGAATCAGAGGTAGTCTGAATAACAGAAAATCAAGACCATTAAAAGGAGAGAGAGTCATTGACACCCGTGGAATTGGGAGAGATTAGCAGGAATCAAGAAGAGGATAATCAGCCAGGAGGTCAAGTGAGTCCCTCCCTACTCCCTGAACAGAAACACTGCTGCCCCTGTTAGACAGTTGGCTTTAAAATTTTGGGGGGAAGAAATCAAAGCAGGTTGTGAGTGCACCACTGCACCCCTTCCCCCCCTCCGCATCTGCCTCTTAAGCAATTGGGGAAATGTTACCTGCTTGTTATGTTGAAAAGCTTGCCTTGATTCATCATGTGAATTGGTTGTATTTCGCTGAACATAACATGTCACAAGAGGACAAACACTTCCCAGGGTAGCAGCAGCTTTCACTATTTTCTGTCATTCAAAAGAAATGTGAAAAGTCTACCTCCACGCTTCGTGTTCTAGCAAAATTTCTGTGCGACTTCCATCAGCATTAGCCAATAACTAAGATGGTAGATATCGCTAAATATTGGTCTGAAGATGCAATCAGGAATAGGCGAGTTGTCATGTCTCAACTGCTGATTCTCCTGAAGTTATAGCACACCCTTATTCCATAGGCTGTTGAGGAAGAGAGAATTCAGAGAAGCAGCTATACTAGTTTTGGACCTACTGGGGTCTACGCATGCTATTAATGTGCAGTAAGCTTTCCCCAGCAGAGCATCTACATGTTTTTCTTTTGGGTTTTTTGGGGTTTTTTAATTTGTATCTGAGGCCAAATTAGCCAAATCCAAGAGTCCAGAACCATAAGTGGCCCTACTACCAGCAAACAACTTCCACCCACATCTGGGGCTTCATATATTTCCAAAAACTTTGGTGGGCAGCCTACTTGCAGGCCCAAATTCAGAAGTTTGGGGTTTGGATGACCCTGAGTTTTGCTTGCCCTTAGCCATAAGGCCCTCAGATCAAGCAAGGGAGGAGCCTCCCATTTCCATAAACTGGCCTTAAAGCTGCTATCCTTGGGAGCAAATTTGCTCCCAAGGGGAGCAGTTCAGTGCAAGGCTATTCCAGCCCTGCTGTGCCCCCTACAGCAGGTAGGGGAAACTTTAGGCTTGCCCAGGTGCCAGCTCCAGGCAGACATGGGGCACTGGAGTCAAGCCCTGGTTTCCAGGGAAGTGGGGGAAGCTGTCCCACCTGTGGGGCAGCTGCCTCCCAGCCCTGTGCCCTGATTTGTCGATCAGGGCATGGGGCTGGGAAATTGTTCCCTCCCTTAGCTGCTGCTTCCCCAGCCCCATGCCCTGATCAGCAGATTAAGGTATAGGGCTTGGAAAATGTCCCCTTTGATCAGAGCTCCAGATCCAGAGCATGGGGATGGAAAGCAACAGCCAGGAGAGGGAACATTTCCCCGCCTCATGCCCCATTAGGCAGATTGGAGCATGGGGATGGGAAGCACTAGCTGGAGGAGGGGACAATTTCCCAGCCCCATGCTCCAATCTGCCAATTGAAGCATGGGGCTGGAAAGCAGCAGCTGGGGGAGTGGGTAGTTTTACCTCCCCCTGCTATCTGAGCTGACCAAGAGCAATTAGCTCCAGGTAAGCAGTCTACACATACAGTACTGCATAGTAGTTACTGGTAGTAGGCAACTGCTCAGTAGACTAATCTATTGTGCAGTAAATGCTGCACACGTGTAGATGGTGATGCTTTACTGCACAGTAGATTAGTCTACTGTGCAGTAAAATGTCTTGTGTAGACATACCCACTGTGGAGAAACTCTGATCCTTGGGGAGGGTTTTCTTGTTGCTTTGTGGCTCCCTTACATTAGGATGGCTGATAGAGACAGGTTGCAGTGCAACAGTACATCCCACCCCTTACCTGTGATGAAAGCTCTGCAAACTATATGTAGATTTAACAGCCCAGTTATAAACTATGTATACTACAAAAGCCAGATTAAGTAAAAGTACAGATTCCAATGAATACAGATACTTCAAAAGGAACTAGTTTATTTAGCAAAAGAAATGCGAAGACAGGATACCCTTGTTTTTCCCAATACTCTTTGTAATATTTTCCTGGAAAAGGAAAAGAATATAGGTTCTTAGCAGAAATGAAGTAACACTTGTAGACATTGTCTTGGCTAGGAAAAAAGGAGTGGGTGCTCTGGGAGTGGATGGGGGTGGGGGGGTGTTAATTAGAACAGCTCCTAGCTCTGAAAGATGGAGGTGGGGGCACTTTAACTAAAGCTCATTTGAGGAGCTTTAGTTAAAACGCACCCACCACCATTTTTCATCATGAGGATGGTGATACACATGATGCTGGAGTCTGCTGGAGCACAGTAATTACCAGTTACTTGAGTCAGCTCTAACACGCTGTAATTACAGCACGTTGGAGCAGCCTTGCTACATGTGTATAGGCACCTGGTGTTTTTTGAAAAAAATACCTTCTCTCCTTTTTTCTTTTTTTTTTTTTTAAGTGCCCTTTTATGCAGCCTAGCCTGGGCTTTGAGGGTTAGATTCTGCATTAGAAAATTGTCTTACATTAATGTATATCCCTTCCCCTTGTCCCTGTACAGGAAAATCTGGCCATTTGTTCACCAGCCCCCTGGTCCATGGCTATGAGAATAAGGGCAGAGCATATGATTGTCCTTGCCTTCTCTTGCTGGAATTTCATGCTACATTTTGTCTCATCAAATTCTTTTAGAATCTCTGGCTTAATCAGGAGGTGAACAACTGACTGTTTTCATGAGGTGACATCAATCTGATGTTGTTTAGAATCAGATATACATATGGTGTGATGTGACATTATAGAGGAGGAAAACTAACCCAAATGAAAATGTATCTACGTCTAAACTCAAAGATAAGACAATGTATAATAAGAGTACTGTAAAAGATATACAACACAGGGCTTAAAATAAACATTGCTGGTGGTTTTGTAGTCAATACAAATGTCAAAAGCTTATTCTGTTGGGCAGCACAGTTTACTTTGGTAAAGCACTACAGTGTTTATGTTTTTATAGGAAGATTAGTTGCTTGGCACTGTTACTAGGGTATTGTGATATACACACTTACAATAAGTTGTTTCCAAGAGGAGAAGGAACAAAAAAAGTTGTATGATATACTGTACAAGTTTTAATACAGCAATCAGCTGGCATCTTGGAAAATCCTACCTACCATAATTCTGCATTGTTTGAGACACATTTACATTTTATTCTGAATATTAAACTAAGGGAAATAGTTTGTCTACATATAATTAAACCTTGCAAGGCATAGCTACTTCAAAAAGCTCAACAAATAAACAAAGAAGAAA